GTGACTGCCTGATTTCAATTCCACTTGGTTAACATTAAATGCACACTGATATAGGTTACTAAATATCTTGAGATATATATTTTATTGAAGATTTATGAGTTTTAAATAAGCTCCGTAACATTCAAGTGGCTGACCGGATAAACGTCACCTTAGATTAGTTATATTATTTAACTATTATTTTCAGTAAACTGGCTCTTAGTCTTAATAAAAACGAACGAATCGAAATATTAAAATTAGATGAAAAGAAAGTTAAAATAGCTTTCAGTTGTCAACAGTGACTATGTGGTTGATTAACTAGCTTTAATACATCGAGGATCAAGTGTCATGCGAACTAACATCTTTATAAACAAATATCCTATCTAAATATGGAATGCTTGTTGACTTTCTCAGTATGTGTCTTATGTTGAACCTAAAAAATTGGTTCTGCATTATTTAAGTAAGTTTACATTTTTGTTAATATGGTTGAGCTACTTGTAAGTAGCATCCGCCTGCTATATAAATTTCTTATGTGTTAATGAATTTGGTGGTTTAGAGATTTATTTAATTTAAATGTCAAAGAACTGTAAACTTTATTCGTCTGTGATAGGTCTATTTTCAAGTTCCTATCGAAAAGTTGTTGAGCCCCTGAAGATCAAATTTAATTGCCGAGGAAAACTTAAATCTAATTTTTATTCATAGAAACAGTACCATTTAATATAATGGTTGATGCATTATATTGAATCAATAATTTCTAATTTCAACTGATAGATAACAAGAGGTTCATCATTCTAACTAACATTCTCTTATAATATGTTGCTCTCTTTCAACTGAAAGGAACCAACTATATGATCCATATATTATAGAAAGTTGTGTCATTTAGTATAACCATTTATTTCAATACTGATATCTGGAGAATATTATGATATAAAACAAAAAAAGTGTAAAAGCTAATCAGGATTCATACAAAACCAAGATTAATGATGAACTTGGTGTAAAAACATCTGGAAAATATCGTATATAAAGATTTTCATGGAATGGCCTGTCTATCATAAGTCTAACTGATCTGAATAAATGTCATTTATTTATCAGATTTTTGAAGCTCACTGTATTGTTGACCTTGGAAATCCAATCATTTTCTGACTTGATCGGAAACTCAACATCCTTTCTATCAGTAATGTATTGTTGAAGAAGATATCTGCTTAATAATTTTTGCACAGATGTAGATGAATATTCATTCTTGTTTTCCGAACTATTTATTCATATAAACTCATTTCAACTCATAACGTACAACTGTTAAACTAACACATTTAATGTGTATTACACTATAAATTATGCTAATATTAAACTTTTACGAATATGGCTAAACTATCACCTAAACTAATGCTCATCATTTTTAATAGATTTATACATCGCACATAAATATTTGAGTGATCAAAGAACAAGGATGAAGTGGAGTCTTATCAACAAACAAAGTGATGTAAATATCACTATCACAAGTTATCTAATCATAAGTAGTATGTAGTTCAATTAAAAGCTGACTTCTATTAAAATGACATGTTACTTGGAATTTTAATAGGTGACAAGAAAACAAAATCGGGTAAAAAAATATGCGTAACAATCAGTTAGCTGATCTTTATTTGACCATTTAAGTAAATAATCATTTCAGTATTCAGTTCTTATTTTATTTAAATATTATCTACAGCTTTACATCGAAACCAACAGGCTAGATTCCGTAGAGATAGGTTGTGTACAGACCAAATCGCAACTCAATTTATCATTGTGGGACAATCAACTGAATAGAATTCATCACTGTACATCAACTTCATTGACTACGAGAAATCATTTGATAGAGTCGACAGGACACTACGATGTGCCTGAGAAGACAGTCAACATCATACGGAATTATTATGATGGATTAAACTGAGAAATGGTGCATGGAAGACAGCTCATAGACGTGTTCGAAATAAAGACAGGTGTCAGGCAAGGTTGCTTACTCTCACCCTTTCTCTTTCTCCTAGTGATCGACTAAATTGTCAAGACGTCACCATCTTGAGGGAAGCATGAGATATAGTGGACAGCAAGGTTGCAGCTGGAATTCACAGATGATCTAGTTCTTCTATCGCACACTCAACAACAAATGCAAGTGAAGACGACCAGTGTAGCAGCACCCTCGAAAGTAGTAGGTCTCAACATACACCAAGGGAAAAGCAACAGACTCCGATACAATATAATATGCATCAATCAACTCAAACTTTACGGAGACGATTTGGAGGATGCAAAAACCTTTACATATCTGGGCAACATCACTGATGAGCACAGTGAATCTAGTGCAGATGTGAAGGCGCGTATTGGCAAAGCAAGAGAAGCATATCCACAACTGAGGAACATCTTGAACTCAAAACAACTGTCAACTAACACCAAGGTCAGGAGTTTCAATCCTAATATGAAGACAGTTCTACTGTATGGGGCGGAAACCTGGAAAACTACAAAAGCCATCATCCAGAAGACACAGGTGTTTATTAACAGTTGTCTACGCAAAATACTTCAGATCCGTTGGCCGGACACTATCAGTAACAATCTACTGTGGGAGAGAACAAACCAGATCCCAGCGGAGGAGAAAATCAAGAAGAAGCGCTGGAAGTGGATAAGACACACAATGAGGAAAGCATCAAACTGCGTCACAAGACACCCCTCACATGGAATCCTCAAGGCCAAAGGAGGAGAGGAAGACCAAATAACACATTACGCCGGGAAATGGAGATAGACATGAGAAAAATGAACAAGAATTGGATAGAACTAGAAAAGAAGGCCCAGGACAGAGTGGGTCGGAGAATGCTGGTCGGTGGCCTATGCCCCATTAGGAATAACAGGCGTGAGTAAGTAAATACAGCTCTACCATTAACCATTTCAGTAGTACATGTGTTTTTTAATCTATAGATAAGTATTGTCAGGAGTTTCTCTTTAAATTCATCATTTTCTCTTCACAGGACTTCAAGTCTCATTAAATATCAATTAGCAATAATACTGACTTTTAGATTATTTGGATTTACTGGGTTTTTTTATAGTTTCTGGTGTACAATTCTATCTGTATTTATTTTGAGAATCTTTTTCTGGATACACTTCAATCGACTATTGTCATTGTCGATTTGCTTAAACTTGAAAGTTTTTGGTGACTGGTAAAAACCAAAAAGTAATTTAAAGCTTTATATCATTGTATAACTATATTGAAAGTTCTCACATATTTCAGTATAAACAACGAACTAGTGCTTTAATTAATTGATTATGTAGTATTTCGTCATTTCAATGATAAAACAATTTAGCAACCAGTTTTGTCTCTACTTATAAAATGTCAAGTTATAATAGGCAACTCACAGTGAGGATGACAATTACTTGTCATCTTTAAAACTTATATTTATCTTATCATCTGATAATATAAATTCATTTCACCCGAAAATAGAAATTAACCTATATGTTTATCATAATAATTATGATTTATTCCATAAAGAAACCAGTAACTTATAAAAGTAAAACATTAAATTTGGAATAACTAGTTTAGGGGATCTATTCAATCAATTTTCATTACTGTAAGGGGAAGGATACCTAAATGGTTGTCTCATGAGATTTAACTTCAAATCGTTCATAGAGTTTAAACTATTCAAATGTGATTTATAATCAGCAACTGAAGGAGTTGCATAATCACCATACTTGTTTGTAAGATTGACTGGTAATAAGTGCCAATTAAGTTACACCTTAGTGGAAAAATCTATAAGATCGTTTCTTTAAAAAAAATATCTACTAGGAACAGCTAAAAGTGTTTTTTATATCTTTAAATAATATCTTTTACAGTATCAAACGATATAAATCACCATCTAAAACAAAATAGTAAGGAAACTGTTTATTTAACAATGCAACGAATATAGATATTGGTGCATGTTATTGTATACTCAACTAAGTACAACTGGATTATAACTGACATATATTTTGATCCATGTTTCTTATCATCCCAAGTCACTGACTCACATGGTTTGTAGAACTAAACCCATGATATTGTAATGCCCACACCCTATACAACTTTTCATTTCATTTGCTATTTGATAAAGTAACTCCGCCTGTAGCTCTTCTAGAGTTACTGTTGGTCCCAAGCCCGGGAAGAGGTTTAAGCATCTGGTCGGCAACTCCATCCCATAGAAAAAAATCTTGCTAAAAACTGTCAAACAGATTAAAGAAATTAATTTGATAAAGTGACTAATTCCCTACTAATTCTAGCCAGTTTGAGTTAAAAACATCAAATAAACAGCATGACTAAATAACTACAAATCGTAAAAGCTTATGTTCCAAAATAAAAACATTTATTGGATGATTATATACATTGATTATATACACCGAATCACACATTTTCGAACCACAGCACTATTCATAGCCTTCAGAAATAATGATGATTAGATCCCGAATTTGATTATGAAGTATATGATCTTACATGCTTTGCATAATTTAAGAAGTACGATATAAACTAATATTTTTAACATTATTTGAAGAATGTTATATTTCGTTTTTAACCATGAGTGATAAGTAAGAGATTTTTAAGGACAGGTGAAAACAAAACTGTCTGTCTTCGTTTCATACATCTTTTCAAACAAATGAGAAGTATTATTGTAAACAGAGAGTTGAATCCATGTGTTTTTAAAATTGGTAGTGAACTTCTCAGTGAGACTCGTTTAAATAAAATAATTTTAAAGTACAATCTTCTGAAATAATTATAGTTTGTTAAGTGTATTTCGGTTAAAAAGTCTGACTTATTATTTACTTCATTGTCTACCTGGCATATTAGATTATATATTACAATCCTTAAGATTTCCGTATTCATTATGTAAACTATAGTTCTGTTTTTTTAAAATTTTCACTATACAATATCTGTTTGTATAACGCTGTTAAATTGATGATTATGAATGATTACTAACTGGTTGGTTGTCTGCTTAATGCAAGTTTATTCAATTCATTGAAAAAACGGAACATTGCAACATTTGTCAACCTCATTTAACACTTTAAGTGACACCAACAACTCTTCAAAACTATGAATATATTGACTTTTATTGATGTTAACAAAATAAGAAACAAGGATTTGAAATCGCCTACAAACAACTTCAGTTTCCAATATTACTTACTTACGCCAGTTACTCCTCGTGGAGTAGCATAGGCCGCCCAACAGCACTCACCATACAACCCTTTCCAGCTCATTCCAGTTGTTATCTTATCCTCTTCTATTTCCCGACATAATGTGTTATTTGGCCTTCCTCTTTTCCGCCTTCCTTCAGGATTCTAAGTTAGGGCCTGCTTCGTGATGCAGTTTGATGATTTGCGTAATGTGTGTCCTATCCATTTCCATCGTTTTTTCCTAATTTCCTCTTGGGATGGAAGCTGGTTTGTTCTCTCCCTCAGTAAGCTGTTTCTGATGGCATCCGACCAATGTATGCTGCGTATCTTGCGTAGACAAATACTTATAAATAATTGTATCTTCTTGATGATGGTTGTGGTAGTTCTGAAAGTTTCAATTGCGTACATTAAGACTGTCTTGACATTGATATTAAAGATTCTGACATTAGTATTGGTTGACATTTATTCTGAATTCCACATATTCTTCAATTGTAGGAATATGGCACTTGCTTTGCCAATCATCGTCTTTACGTCTGCATCTGAACCTCCTTGTTCATAGTTGATGCTTCCCAGGTATGTGAAGGATTCTACATCTTCCAGAGTTCCTCCATCAAGTGTGATTGGTTTGGTTGGCATTCTCACTGTGTTGTAATTGAGGATCTTGCTTCATCCTTTGTTTATATTGAGGCCTACCGATACAGAGGTAGTTTCTAATATTAGTACTTTTCAATCATATATATCCACTCATCAATCAAAACGTTTTTTTTAACTCTGACCTCGATATTATTCAGACGTTATTTCCACAAATATTCAACATTAGATTATAAAGAAATTACTTGATATGGATTTGTTTAAATAAGAAAGTTACAATTAAACCAAAATTCTTTATAATAAATGATATTGTCTTTTGTTTTTTAAAAAATATAAAATGTTACATAGATGATATCAGAATTCTATTGAAATAAATAAATAAAATGAATTCATATTATTCTGTTATAATCTTTATTCTTATACTCTTCTTAAATGATTGAAAGAACTATATGTATCTATGTAATGTAACATGAGTTCTCTCTCTCTCTCTGTCTCTAATTTGTTTTTTGTCTTTTTTGTTGTTGTTGCTGTTTCTCATTAAATCAATCATATGATGTCAAAAAATAAAAAAAAAATTTTTTTTTACTCTAATTTTTAATTCATATCAATCAATATTAAAACTCATTTGATCAAAATCTGATTGGATCAACAAATTCTATTGATTCATCTGTTGATGAATTACTTTTTGATGATCTCTTTTCATATTCTATATCACTAAGACAATTTGATGAAATTACACTTTTATTTTCTTCTGATATTCGATAAGTATTTTTAATTCCATATAAGAAATATATTAATAAACCTAGATGGAAACAATTTGAAATAGTAAAAATAAAACAAAACAAAAAAAATCGGCAGATTAATGTACAACAAATGAGATATAAAGTAATATTGTATTTTATTAAAGAATTACTGAATGAAATGAGTTTGCTTTTCCTTTTTTTTTTTTAGTTGTTAACCTTTTTTGTTGTTGTTTTGGGGGGTGGTGATGATGATGGTGTAATAGATTTTTGCATGAATAATTTGTAGATGGTTTACGTCAATCGAATGATTTGACTAATGAAATGTCATGCTGTAAATTAATATTAGATGGATACAATCTTATTAAAACTAGATAAATAACAATTTGTATATTGAGGGGGGAGGATATTATTAATTAAAAACGTTATGTACTAACTGTTAAGCTTTAAGAATCTAAAATTTACGTTATTATTATTATCATTACCCTCCATTTAGTTAAATTACGTCTTAGGAGGAATGCATAATTAATTAATTCAAAAATTAATAATGTTAATAAATTTCATCAGCAGGAATAAACAATATGCAATTCGGCTGACGCATATAGGTATCATTAAACAATGAAAACCTAACTTATACAAAGAAAAGTCTAAATCAAATAACAAGTCCTTAGTACATTTGGCAATATGGTTGTGGTGTGTGCTACTTATATTGACATAAGTAGTATATGATGTTAGTCGTGAACAGAAGGTCTGGCAGCAGAGAAACAAGATGATCGAACAGTAAAGAATGGAAACAGGATGCGATTTGTATGAAAATGCAAGAACAATGAAGTCTGAGTCATTATGAGACAATTGATGGACATTTTGCAAATTACGTATTTACTATTTGATTGTTAGATTTTATTAACAAGTCCTGTAATTTTTTGTTAAATACAATTGATTGTCCCCATTGATATTCATGTTCACTACATGGTTAGCAGTAAAATTTAAGACATTGACTATTAAATCAGAAGTCCTAACAATCTTGTGGGAATTTCAAGCTCAACAACTATCTTATAGATAATACAAAATTTCGAATGATTAAAAAATGTCTTAGTAACTATGGGTAAAATGAACAGTTCAATTACTTCATATATCACTAAATATTATTATTTTCATTATAAAAGAAGGCTACCTGGACCCTATCTGGGGTTAATGCCAGTCCAAAGCTCGGATAAAGGAGGAGAGTAGGCCATGGAGTTAATGACCCCATCCCGTAAAAAACCAACTCGCTAAAAAGATGCTAATCAGAAGAAGTAATTCAAACCATTTTAACTCTAACCAGGGAGTTAGGATGTCTTCATTTAGAAGAGTTATGACGCCTCATGGTGAAAGCCGAGTTCCTTCGGAAGTCATGAGATTGATGCTCCTTCTGACGACTAGAGCAACCATTAATTTAAGTACATGGAATGCTCGTACAATGTATGAGACAGAGAGAGAGTCATGAAGAGATACAACCTGAAGGTGCTTGGAATCAGTGAAACACATTGGACGCAAGTTGGACAACAACGACTAACTTCAGGAGAACTCCTGTTATACTCCGGCCATGAAGACGAAAATACCCCACATACACAAGGAGTTGCATTGATGCTGTCCAAATGAGCACAAAATGCACTTATAGGATGAGAATCTCATGGACCAAGGATCATCAAAGCCTCCTTCAAAACACAAAAAGAGGGCATTGCAATGAACATCGTCCAATGCTATGCGCCTACCATCGACTACAATGAGGAAACTAAAGATCAATTCTACGATAGGCTGTAGTCAATCGTCGAGAAGTGCCCAACAAAGGTCCTGACTATTCTGATGGGAGATTTCAATGCCAAGGTTGCACTGGACAACACTGGATATGAAGACATCATGGGACGACACGGACTGGGAGAAAGGAAGGAAAATGGTGAGAGATTTGCAAACTTATGTGCCTTCAATAAACTGGTCATCGGTGGAACTATATTCCCACATAAGCGCATTCACAAAATCACATGGACTTCACCGGATCACACCACGCACAACCAAATTGACCATATCTGCATCAATAAAATGTTCAGGAGGACGATGGAGGTTATGGGGGACTAGAAAGGAACAGATATAGTCTCAGGTCATCACTTGCTGGTCGCCAAGATGAGACTGAAACTCAAGAAGTAATGGAAAACGGTCTGGACAACATCACAAAATTTTAATATGACCTTTCTTCGAGACACTGACAGACCCAACGAATTCAAGACAGCCCTCAGCAATAGGTTCCAGGTCTTTCATGATCTACTCAATGGAGAAGGAACTACTATGGAGAGCAACTGGAAGGGGATCAAAGAGGCAATTACTTCAACATGTCATAAGGTCCTGGGTCACAAGAAGCACCATCACAAAGAATGGATCACTGTTGATACACTAGATAAGATTCAATGAAGAAGGAACAAGAAGGCAGCAGTCAATACCAGCCGAACAAGAGCAGAAAAAGCCAAGGCACAAGCTGAATACACAGAAGTAAACAAGAAAATGAAGTTGAGCATCAGAACCGACAAACGTAAATATGTGGAAGATCTAGCAACGACGGCACGAAAGGCTGGAAGAGAAGAAAACATGAGAGAACTGTATGACACGACAAAGAAACTCTCTGGAAATCACCGTAAACCAGAAAGACCAGTGAGAATCAAGGAAGGCAAGGTAATCACCAACATTGAAGAACAACGAAACAGGTTGGTAGAGCATTCTGAAGAACTCTTGAATCGACCAGCTCCACTGAACGCAACCAAAATCGAGGCAGCACCCACGGACCTCCCAATCAATGTTGGCGCACCAATAATTGAAGAAATCAGTATGGCCATCAGACAAGTCAAGAGTAGCAAAGCAGCAGGACCAGACAACATTCCAGCAGAGGCACTAAAAGCAGACGTGGCGGCACCGGCAAGGGTACTCCACATTCTCTTCAATAAGATTTGAGATGAGGAACAAGTACCAAAAGACTGGAAAGAAGGACTTCTGATCAAAATACCGAAGAAAGGTGATCTCAGCAACTGTGATAACTAAAGGGACATCAATCTTCTTTCAATACCAGGAACAGTCTTCAACAGGGTATTGTTAAACAGAATGAAGGACTGCGTAGACGCCCAACTTTGCGACCAACAGGCAGGATTCCGTAAGGATAGATCGTGTACAGACCAAATCGCAGCTCAATTGATCATTGTGGAACAATCAATTGAATGGAACTCATCACTCTACATCAACTTCATTGACTACGAGAAATCATTTGATAGAGTCGACAGGACACTACGACGTGCCTGAGAAGACAGTCAACATCATACGGAATAACTATGATGGATTAAACTGAGAAATCGTGCATGGAGGACATCTCATAGACGTGTTCGAAAGAAAGAAAAGTGTCAAGCAAGGTTGCTTACTCTCACCCTTTCTCTTTCTCCTGACGATCGACTAAATTGTCAAGACGTCAACATCTGAAGGGAAGCATGAGATATAGTGGACAGCAAGGTTGCAGCTGGAATTCACAGATGATCTGGTTCTTCTATTGCACACTCAACAACAAATGCAGGAGAAGACGATCAGTGTAGCAGCACCCTCGGCAGCAGTAGGTCTCATCATACACAAAAGGAAAAGCAACAGACTCCGATACAATATAGCATGCATCAATCAACTCAAACTTTACGGAAACGATTTGGAGGATGCAAAAACCTTTACATATCTGGGCAACATCACTGATGAGCACAGTGAATCTGGTGCAGATGTGAAGGCGTGGATCGGGAAAGAAAGAGCAGCATATCTACAAGCCTTCGCTTAGAATCCTCAGGGCCACAGGAGAAGAGAAAAACCAAATAGCACATTACGCCGGAAAATGGAGACAGACATGAGAAGGACTAGACAAGCAAGACATTGATCACCACCCAGTGATCAATCAATTGTAATTACATCTCAGTCCTACAAGAGGTTAGTTACGGCTCGGATAGCTCAGTGGTAACGTCTCTGACTGTGAAGCTGGGTGACACGAGATCGAATCCGCCAGGGAGCACCAGTTCCCTCAAGATTACAGGTACACCTTGCTGACGAGTACCAAGTAGCACGAAACCCGGGTCCAGGGTTTCCTGTTGACTACCTCCAACCACCATCTAGATCTCAATACATAGTGCCCGCAGTGTCGAGTCACCTAGACTGGTGGCCACATTGCAACATGATCGATAGCATTCGATCTGCACTAATAAGGACTAGACAAGCAAGACATTGATCACCACCCAGTGATCAATCAATTGTAATTACAGACATGAGAAGAATGAACAACAATTGGATCGAAGTGGAAAGGAAGGCCCAGGACATAGTGGGTTGGAGGTAATCAACAGGTTTCGTGCTACTTGGCACTTTTTTAGCAACGTGTACCTGTTATCTTGAGAGAACTGTTGCTCCCTGACAGATTCAACCCCGTGTCACCCAGCTTCACAGTCAAAGACATTACCACTGAGATATCGGGGCATCGACTGACCCCATTTTGGAATGAGATGTATTTACGATTGATTGATCACTGGGTGGTGATCAATGTCATGTATGTCAGGTCTTTGTTAGTGGTCACATAGCGACTTGGTCGATAGGATTCCATCTGCATTTTTAAATATTTGACAAACACTACATTAATCAATACCCCGTGACCAATCAATTAGGTTGGATAATGCTGGTCAACCACCTATGCTCCTGTGGGGGTGACAGGCATAAATAAGTAAAGTAACCATCTAATTAATATGGCAAATTTGTCAAGTGATCATATACAGTTTATTCACTACCATACCACAAACATACATACAAACTAAGTGAATAATTCACATTATGAATATCAAATTTTATAAACCCATTCTCATACGCATGTGTGCACAAAAAACAGAATGATGCATGATCTGAATGTTATAACATTAACATGATCAAACCTACCAGTATGTAGTAAGCAGTCTATATGATTTGTTCTTCATACTAATTCAACTTCTGTGAATTGAAAAAAAATTTGCCTATTCTTTGAAAACTTAAGTCTGAAGACTCAATAAATTCAATTTTTAATTTTCTGTGATATCACAAATATATTATATTCTTACTATTATAAAGTGGCCAACATATCTTTAATTTATTTGGAAACGATACTTATAGTGAAATGACAATGATTATACATTAACGACAACTCCCGAACTAATTTAAGTTAGACTTTCATTAGCATACAGGAAGCATTGGAAAGCCATTTCTTTCTAATATGAAGCTTCTCATCACTGTTCATCTACAATGTGCTCATTGGTGACTAATATCGAGAGGTAATTCCGGAATTTTAATGAAAAATCGTGGTTGTTACAATTCTAATGCACCGGGTGTCAGACAGCTTCCCATTAAACACTGTCATGAGTTGACTGAAGGTAAATATACACACTACTGAGTTTAAGTGTTCTCGTGTAACTGAAAGTCCTGCATTCGATTCCATCTTACAGGGTCAAAGATGCTCTCTGGTGAGGGGTCCTACACCAGGATGAAACAGTATCCAGAACTTACCAACTACCAATAAACATTTAACTTGGGTCAGTTCGCGATATTAATAATAATCAAAATCAACCTGTATTTTAATCCCTATGATAAAATCCAGTGTATTAAAGTTCTCATTAGTACATTGTTCTTATAAATCCAAGAAAGAGAAGCAACTTACCGAGTAACATCCAAATACCATAACGAACCCAACTAAACCATGAAATCCGAGAAAGAAGGAGTAGATTTATCGTTAATGTAAAACAAGGAAGCAGTGGAACCAATGGAACCTGAAAGAAAGTTCGAAAGTACCACTCAAATAATGATTATTTCTGGTATATGAATAATAAATATTGTGTTATTCAGTACATCAGCCTCTATGAGGATCGAGGTGTCAGATGATTCTTAACCAAACACTGTGCAACATGGTCGAGTGACAATCTTACTTTATTTACAAATAAAGTACACGTATATACTTTTTATTTGAGCTCAGAACGTAGTTATGAATAATGATATATATATATATATATATATAGGTAAAAGTAGACGCGAAGATAGATTTAAACGTATATGTTACTGTAATATTAATAATTATGTATGTCATTGAGACCTGGTAATTTTTAAGAACAATATGTACTTTACTGTAACTCTGAACTAGTTTGATGACTTATAATTCTCGGTCAAACATCAAATTTTGGCGATATCGATTGTAATCATGAGTCAGTTGAAACTAGACCACCATTGAAAACTTGGAAGCACTGGACGGCCGTTTCATCCTAGTATGGGTCTCCCCAGCAGTGCGCATCCGCGTCCCCACACCACCCGGGGCTCGAACCCAGGACCTACTGGCTTCGCGCGCTAGCACCTAACCACTAGACCACTGAGCCGGCATCCAACGGTGTTAATGTCTAACTTCAACCAATCCACGAAGTTGCACCACCATACACCATTGTCTTCAGTGAGTTCCTATCTCACAACAGACCTGGTTGAACTCCACTGGTAACGGCTTCAACTGACTCATGATTTCAATCTGTGAAATTTCTAAAATCTCCACAAAACCCATTCTGATATCAATTGTCTTATTCATTTTCGTATTTAGATGTTTCATAGTTTTGCAAAATAAATTTAGTTGAATAAATTTCTAATGCGGCTGATTTAGGATCCTGTCAATTTCCATCTTAATTACAGACAATCTTAATCTAAATGAGAATAATTGGTCTACGTTATATGTAGTAACCATAAAAATCGTCTTTATTAATGCATCATTATGTATAAGTTAATTGAGCGGTTTTAATAATAGTCACCAAATGTACTTCACCAAAACCTTGTTATCAATTCATAACATATAAGGATTCAATTGACTCATGCATTCAACTATTAAATTACTATAATATCCACAAAAACCCTTCTCTGATTATAATCATCATATGCTCACTAGGGACTTGCATCAAGAGGCATTTCCTGGAGTTCCAGTGAGAAGCAGTGACCAGTGGAGTTCAACTAGGTCTGTTGTGAGATAGTAACTCACTGAAGACAGTGGTGGACAGTGGTGCAATTTTGTGGGTTAGTTGAAGTTAGACATTAACACCGTTGAATAACGGCCAGCTTATTGGTTTAGTGGTTAAGCACTGGCGCGCGAGACCGAATCTCACGAGGCAGGATCGTGGATGCGCACTGTTGAGGAGTCCTACAATAGGACTCAACGGCCATCCAATGATTCCAAGTTTTCCATGGTGGTCTAGCTTCAACCGACTCATGATCTCAACTATTAAAATTATTATAATATTCACAAAAAACTCTTCTCTGAATATAAGGATAAGTTTTTTCTGTCAACTTCAATTTCACGTTCACACCACGGTAATACAATGATGGATTAACATGTATCATACGTTATCATATATAAACTTTTCATCAGAGGAATTATGAAAATATAAATCAATAATAAGAAATTATTACCAGAATAGATGGTTGTTGGTAAACTCTTTCATTTATCATTTAAATTTTTTTTTAAATATCAGCATCATTAGAACTATACTTCGTTGTCATGTTGATGTTCAATATAAACAACAACATCAAACTGATTTGCCTATTCAGTTTTCATATAAATAAACATCAGAGTGGAAAAAGAAGTAAGTTAACGTTTTGTTTTACAAGTCAGTGTTAGTTCTCGTAAAAAATCACTTTCAATATTTTGATTAGGTTTTTAAGCAAAGATAGATAGTGGCTGGCAATGGGATCCGGGACGCGCGTTTCGTTCTGTATCGGAGTCATCAGCTAGGTGTACCTGAATCCCAGAATTGATGTTCACTCTAGGACTCGAAACTAGTGCTGTTCGCTTCAAACGCCATTGAGTTATACACTTAGCTACTGAGTTCTGATAACCACTTGCTTGTGCAATGGGGCGAAGTTTAAATTCACTTGATGTTGTTTTACTTGTATCTTCCCATTGTTATTTAGGACTGCAACTAATCAGTCTCATGTTGGTATATGTGCATCCTGTGCGGATTGCCTCAATGAAGCCAACATGAGACTGACCAATTACAGTCCTAAATAACGATGGGAAAATAGAAGTAAAACAACACCAAGTGAATTTTGATTAGGTTGTTTCAGCAGAAAATATTTTATTTAAAAGTATTAATAATAGATAACTTACTCGATATAAATTAGCATCATTTGACTTGAACTGTTTAATAAAACTGATGAAAATGATAGTTAACATGAGTAGTAAAATAGTAAATACAGTAGCAATGATCTTCATAAATGATGCTATTCTACCAGATACTCCAAAGGTCAAACATCCAATCAACGTAATACTCAATATTACATAAATAGATATTAAAAGAACAACCATACTACCAGGAACACCAGAATTGATAAATTTTAACATACGATCAGATAAACGAAAACCAATTTTCTTTTTAATGAATCCTGGTTGACCAATTCGCTTACTGTAATATGAATTCTGTGGAGCGATAAAACATTCATAGAGAGAAATCAAAATTGATATATCACAAATCATACATACATACATATAATGAGTAGTTTTCGACAAGTATGTACAGTAACTGAGTAAAAATATGTAATATTTAATAAGGAAAAGAGAATTCAGAGAAGAAAATTTTATTTTCGATGAAATCATTTACTTAATCTATACATTCGTATATATAGTTATATGGAAAATATATGTCTATAGGAGGATAGAAAAGATTGCATCACAAAAAATGGATTCGAGACTAAATAACAAATGAGGTTACGTACTAATCAAGGGGTAAGGAAGAAAATAATTTACGGGTCAGATAATTTATTTAACGATTTATTTTCACCGACCTACAAGAGGACAAAAACAACTAGCCAGAATATTTATGACAAATGATTTGGTCAGTTACAATAAGCTACAATCACTAGTCCTTGTATAATATATACAGTTCATAGTGGAGCCCTGTCTTCAAAACAAACATTCCAAATGATGGTATCATCGAGATGCTGGAGAAGATTTGTAGCTTTGATGGATGATTTTGATGGAGTTTTGTTCTCTGAGCTGGATGGTTTGGTTCATCCATCAAGATGGTATCATTTTTGAATAAGCTTAAAAGTTAATTAGCTTAATATTTTTGTAATCCGAGAAATTTTTTCGAAAAAAAAATACTTTATCATTTGTTGAGACAAAACATAAAATAAACTTTGTCATATCTAATTTATACTCTGATTTCTTCTATAAAAAAAACCATTCCAACTAGGTAGATTTTCTATTAACCAATTAATGATTTATTAATGAATGTGAAATACATTAGATATGTATTTACCTGATAGTTTTCAAAACCTTTACAATTAGCATTATCATATTCATTTATATCTTCAGGATCATTTGTCTGTGATCGATAACGTAGAAATAAAACGCTGATAGCACTAATACAATAGGCAATTAATGTGCCTAAACTTAAAAAACTTGCCAAACTTTGTACAGTAAATATTGTACTAAACAAACATGTGAAAATTATAATGAATATTGTCATCAATGGTGGTCTCTGAATGAAGAAGAGAAAAAAGAAAGACAAATAGGAATATTATTAGTGATAAATTAAAAATATCACATTTACATAAGTTAAATCAACTAGATTGGTTAATATGTGGCCAAAAATATATTTCTATAGTCCGTTTAGTGCTGATCAAATTTTATTGAGCAAGCCGTAACGTAGCCGCTCAATTAAGTGAATATATTTCTCATTCACTACGTTTTGATGTTTTGCAGTTGAAGCAAGTCGAAAGGAAACCCTATACCTGAGTTTTTAACTGTTTGACACTCACTAACAAGGTTTACCTGTAATCATAACGTGATTGAAGCTCTCGGGTGGATCCGATCATGAGATACTCAACTTCACATTCTGAGACATTACAAATGACTTCACATCTATAGGAGGTTGGTCAAGGCCAGGATAACTCAATAGTAACTTCTCAAGACGTAGAACTGAAGGAGGCGGTATCAACTCCGTGCGAGAGCATTAGTTTCATAAAGAACATAAGTTTAGAGTTTCCTAGAGATTTCCCTCAGCCACCTAACATGCAGACATATTGTCTATCAAATAACTTGATGTTTTTTCTACATTTTACTTGATAGATCAGTACACATCAATTAGCATTGTAGATTAAAATCTGGCGTTAATTATTATCTTATTGCGCACTGGTGTATATTTTACGTCACATTACTACATAACTTATAACATTCAGTCATCATGAGCTCACTCGAAGTAATTATAAAAGAAGGAGGAGTGATGAAAGCCTCTTTGATTTAACGTGATTTAATTTGATTGGGATAAAGCGTATATATACATATATCAAACAAAATTACAATTGGGTTTTGTGTGCATATCTTTATATCATTAACTTTTCGATTTAAAAATTACCTTGAAGGGTCGGCAAATACAAGAAAACATGAATGGAATAAAACCATCATGGACCATAGCTAAACAAATATTTATACTGGCCAACATTGGTGATATCAAACTGGTGAGTAATCCAAGTACAAACCCACTGCCAACTAAACAAAACATGAATATTCTTCCAAAGTTTGCACTAGTAGATTCTTTGTTATCTTTCAATGCATTTAAAAATGCATTTTCTGCGTCGACATAAAACCATGGATAATATAATGTCAGTGCTAATGCAGATAATGTAGTGACGAGTCCCACGATGAGTATGCTGGTTACACTGGCTGCAGGCAGGCTATAAGGAGGACGTTTAACTTCTTGTGCACGTGATGATGGTGCACTGGATCTAACGAAAGCATTGAAACTAATTGTTGTCGCACTTAATAAACCGAGAATCCCATAAGGTAGAAAATATTTAATATTCGTTGTAATCCCAGGATATATTATGGAATAATGGTTTGGCTTAGCATGAATAAACATATAGATAGTAGCTATCAATAATGCTCCAACGTTAACGGCACTTGAGATCACGGTCAAAGCTAAATTTTTACGTAGTCCAAAACAACAACAAATGCCAAAAATAAGAATCACTATCGTACTGAGGAAATCAGGGTATTCTGACAACAATCCATCTGGAGATGATAATCTATAAAAGTAATTTTTTGAAATGAAAAACAAAAAAACAATTTAGCCTTATATACTGAAATTAAAATTTCTTAGAGATGTGATCATTATGTGTAGTTTGTATTACAAATTTAGTAAAAACGAGTGGCTTTTTTCACTAAACCGATAAATGTCAATAAAAGAATCAACCTGGTGAGGATTATTGGTGAACAGATGCTTGACATGGTATGGAATTGCCTATGTGAAACTATAAATAGTCTATATTATAACATTTTACTTCTCCCGAATATGCTACTAATTCTTCTACACCTTTAATTCATTCTCACTTAATGATACAAAATACTGGTGAACGTTTTTTAAACTCGTAGAACAGAGGCGAAACGTATACATCCAGAATAGCAGTAGAACAAAGAATACACATTTTTTCCTGCTTGGAACTCATCAGCCATGTGCGCCTGTATTTCAGTGTTGACTTCGTAGTCAAATTCCAACCCACCACTTTCCTCACTGAACTCCGACATCTTATTCATCAGTCTATATGTTCACTGACTAATAAAGCTTTTACAGAAGAAATCGTCATAATACACTTGTGAATGGTTTATTTCCTGAGCTAAAGAACTGAATATCAAAAGTCACATTGTCATTGAGAACTACATTATCAGCCTCTAATGTTTTCGTGATCACTTAACGAGACTAACTTGAGTGTCTATTCCAAAAATATACATCGATTAAAATGTGTCATAAAAAATATTTTTTGAAGGCAGAAAAGTTTCAGTTAAACGAAACCAAACCAAACAATATGGGAAACAGTCTATGGATTTCAAAATCTTTTAGAAACTAAAGAGCAACCTCATGCAGACCTGAAAACATTACGACAGAAACGAAACAAATCCAGAATCATTATAAACAACACTAGTTGTGAAAAATGTTGTGCTGTGATGATTGGATCATCTGTTCACTTTTTTGCTTGTTTTTATTCCTATCGACTTCTCTCGCACACTCAACTCTTTACTCAATCCCAGCACACAACAAACTTTTAGGTTAGACACTAACCTACCGAAGGCTAAACTCCGAAATACTGGTCGGAATCGACGCCCTCTAGCTGCATTAAGACACGAAAGTAAATTGCAGTTAAGCAATAAAATAACATTGGATAAGAAAAACTGACGGAAAAGTCAGAGTGTTTCTTAAAGTCTACTAGTGAGATAACGAAACATTTAACTGATTTCTAAGGAAGTATCAAATGCATTGGATTAGCCCGAAATTTCGAGAACACTCAGTGCCACTCAGGGTCATTGAATCAAATGGTTTTACACTTGCAGACAAATCAAATAACTCAAATCTTTCTGAAATTGTAATTGGACATGTTTTAAATTATAATAAACCTTCACGTCTAAGTCACCCAGCTTGAGAAAGGCTGTGTTACAAAACCAGTCGCTTAAACTGAAAATTTTCTTCATTAATTGATATTGCGGTATTGTTATGAAACAAAATATTATAACAATCGAAATACACAACAGTAATTCATCAATGAGTAATTATGTTAATTACGTCTCTAAATCAGTAAGAATTGATCATATAATGGGTTTTAGACAGGCTAATCAATTCGAATCAGCTGATATAGAGCAGATACTCAGATTTTGTTTTAACTATAGCCTATATCGATTAGTTTACTTACTTTATTTTAATGTTGGTCGTTTGTTTAAAGAAACTTATGACTAACTACAAATTTACTTGGTATTCCTTCAACACTGAGTAAATGTGATTTTACCTACGATTGAAAAACTTTCAGATTATTAATTTTCTTTAAACTTTACTATCGCCTGACGTCTCGAAATATGTCCTTCAGTAAAACAGTTTATTCATGCTCAGATTTTTTAATAAATTCTCTACATTAGACATGCATAAGAACTTATTAGATGAAGTTTATATCGTTTCTTTTAATAACCATTACTTAAAAGTGTCTAAATCAGTGTTGGTATTACTATAGAGCTTAGGTTAGACATCCATCTCTTCGAGTGTAGAAGTATTATCAATAAAGCTAATGAAATACATCACGTTTTCGAACTGAAATGTGAGATTAAACCATAATTTCTTGTAAACTTTATTCTTATTTCCCCTACACTGAAGAAAAAAGGAGTTAAACTGTTTTTTGAATTTTGTTTACCTCATTACTCTTCAGATAAACGTTTTTGAGATTATTCAACACGTCACAAATGTAATCAGTCTTCTTGTTGTTGTGGTATAATGTTATGGAATAGGATAATATAGAACGCCTAAATAATATTTAATATTTTACTTACTTCTGTCTGTTTACTAGGATAGCTAGTTGTTACATAAATTGTATATCCACATAATTTCTTTTGATATCAACTTATGTATGTCACTTTACGAATGTCAATAAAATCATTGGAGATATTTCGCAACCTGTCATATTTGTGCCACAACTCCACGAGAAAGAACTACGTGTTCTTAAAAGTGTATCAATAGTTATTGGGTGCATTAGCCGCCGTTCATTTTATCCTTTCATGATATCACTTTTTTACTTACTGTTCTTACAAGATTTCCAAATTTCAAACATTAAAAGTCACCTAGTTTTTACTAGTACTGTAGGAAACTTCAGTGTACACTGAAAAAGTAGATCATCACTCGTAAGTGAACTGAATTTGTTTGATTAAAAACAGATCATCTCGTTAGTTACTATCAGTTATTATAAAGTGACACATACATCTTTATTGAGTCAGGAATTTTCTGTGATGAAACTAACATCAAAACGATAATGAGAATCTACTAAAATAATGCACAAGTATGTAATTCCGTTGATTGTTAACCTCTTTATTTTTATTCGTGATTACAATGCAAGTTTTTGATCTAATTTATTGACAAAATCTGTTCGACTAGGGGTCTACATCAAAAATCCAGTTTTATCAGGAGTTATCACCAACCACATTGTATCATTTAATATTATTATTTGATCTGTGTTGTATTCAATAATATAACAGTTCTCAAACTTCCCTAAAAATGATCAAATCCAGATTCATGACATTATTTTCCTTTACAGTGAACCATGAACCCATAGCTAAAAGTCAGAAGTAACTGAAGTACCAGGGGTAACTTTTAACATACTGTTTTGAATAGAGCTATTATATATTATAAAGTCGGACATAATCTACCAATCACTACTGATTTCATTTAAAATTAACAGCAAAAATGGATGATTTATAGGACTACTTCAAACTATACACTAATATCACAAAGCTTACGGAACGCGTTTTATACATAAGAAAATGGTATTTCATGGAACTAGAAATGTTAAAATTTTGATCTGTAATTATAGAATAACACTGCAACACACAACAAGAAAAGATTACAATTAATATTGAAACCATTCACTTATTCTGAATCATAGCTATAAATGACTTCCAAAAACCATGAGAATATAGTGCAACTGAATAAAACAAACCACACTATTTTACCACTTTTGTAAGTACATTTTTAGATGAGTAAATTTTCAACGATTTTAAACTAAGCTTACAAATTCTTTCGGCTCAAGTTACACCCTGTAAAGTAATTGAACTTTTAAGGTGAATATATCATTGTCATAAAAAGACAGGATAAATAAGTGATAAAATAAAAATATTCCTTTTAACATGAATGTTTAAGACAGTTTGGTTGATCGCTAAATATATCTATACTATTGAAATAACGAAAGGGTCATTGTAAAAGGATTTCGATTGGTTAGGTTTACTCTTCTTAGATTAAGAAGTGAAGAAGTCACACAACTTTACAGGATAGTATATTCAGGTAGACTAATATCTTGGAATAACTAAATGGTCCCAACCTTATGAAGCAGATCTCAACAAACAAAATGACTTGCATATATATTCGCTTGTACATTGACGGCTCACGGAATCATGATCAATGTCAGACTTACATAGTCCATTAAGTGCTATTTGAATTTTGCCTACCAAGTTATAATGTGGACACCAATCTAAGTGACTTGATATTGCGTGAACTATATTTCGTTGTAATATGGTTAGAAGTAGTTGATAACAGACCCTAAACCTTAGTTTCGTGTTGCTAATCACTCGTCAGAAAGGTGTACCTGTATTATTTAAGCTACTGGTGTTCACTGAAGAAATCAATCCCATATCACTCAGTTCCTAACTCTGAGATGGTTTACTTACCTTCCAAATGTAATTATTATCCACGAACTTATCCTGTTTCCTGAAAAAGTGTCGATTATGTTGCTCCAACTACGTGCAACTAGTGATGCACTTAGTATGTAATCGAGAAACGTTGACCATGCAGTTATGAATGCTGGGAGTTCACCAAGAATGCTGTGTGCATGTCCGTAACATGCAACCTCCTAAAAAGAATTAAAACCAGTAAATGTATATTGATAGGACTTTTTACTTTTAAAAATACACGCGTTTAAATAATAAATTCTATATCATTAATCCAATCACTAAAAGACACATTTTGGCATTACCACCAAAGAATGAATTTTAACTGTTCGGGAGCCTCACATTAAAATATCAGAGAGTGGCTAACTGAAAATTTATAATTTTAAAAATTTCATGTTATTCCTATTTGTATAAGTTCACTTACTGAGAAAAATTCCATTTTCATTGGAAGATTTCTTAACAATAGCAATAAAGGAAAATTACGCCAACGGTTTCTGGTGAGATAGGAACTCACTGAAGACAATGGTGTACGGTAGCACAACTTCGTGGATTGGTTGAAGTTAGACATTAACACCGTTGAATGCCGGCTCAGTGGTCTAATGGTTAAGTGCTCGCGCGCGAAGCCAGTAGGTCCTGGGTTCGAGCCCCGGGTGGTGCGGGGTTGTGGATACGCACCGCTGAGGAGTCCCATACTAGGACGAAACGGCCGTCCAGTGCCCCCAGGTTTTCAATGGTGGTCTAGCTTCAACTGACTCATGATTTCAATCTGTAAAATAGTTTGTTTATACTTAACACGAATAATAATAATTTCATCGATTATCTTTACGAATAGAAAATGAGTCTAAGCAGAGGAGCCTACTTCAAAGATTGACACAGACTAATCGATCCAATATCTTTATTACCAAATTCTAACAATTCATATACAATCCCATAACATATCAGACATTCATACAACATTAAATGTGAAATTAATGGAACAAATTTTATATTAGAATTTTCAATTAATTTAATTAAAAACTGACAGAAAACAATTACTTACTTTTGGAACATGACATGCTAATTCTGAATATATCAAAGAATTTAATATTGCTACAACAGTAGCTATAATATAAGCAAGAAAAGCACTCGGTCCAGTTTGTGTATTTATTACAGCACCAGTCGACACATAAATGCCTCCATCCAGCATACATGCTGAAATTTATAACATCAGTAACTTTAAGCGAATATAATAATGATGAATATCGTAATGCTTTAAGGTGACTTGAAATTACTTATATATGTGACTGTCAAATTGTCTATTCATACTATGTACTGATGTATTTAACTCATATCTCTTGTTTTAGTATTCTTCGAATCGACAAAGCATCTATATGAACTTTATTTAATCAAGATAAAGCTTATTATACAAAATTATTAGTTCTCATCAAGTGTTCCTTGGTATGGATAAAACACAACTCTAGACTAGTATTAAACCAATGACTTAAGTTTGGTGTATAATGTCATAATATAAAACTCGGAATGAAATTTATTGTTTAAACTTTTAGGACTCAATTTAATTAGAAAAGAATGTGTTCATCAGTTACCAAAGCCTAATGATATCCAATCACAAAAATGTAACGTTGAAATCTAAAAAGCGAATTGAATTATATTATGAATCAAATCACTGTTGATAACTAAAGAGAAAACGATTGTAAAAATGGGATTAAATCACTTTCCTTTTCTAAAATTTATCAATGATGTCAGGTTGATTTACAAATAATTACTTCAAATCTCCCTCAGTAAGAAGAATAACCATCATCATGAGTACTAACTATATTATATACTTATACAAGGTAATTTAAGTACAGATAATGCATATATAAACATGATTCACGAAACCAATTTACAGACTCAAAAACTCGAACTAAACCTTTTTTTTACAAATAAATCACATTGGTGGAGAAGATTTGTAGCTCAGATGAACGATTTTGATGGAGTTTTGTTCTCTTAGCACATTGAAATCGACCCAATTTATCAACCAATCAGGAAAATTATTCACAAATATAGGGACAAAAATCAAACCAATGGGAGACACAACCAAAACAAAGGAGTAAACAATAACAAATTTAAGGTCAATAAGAACCAATCAACGTCAAGGTGTACAGAACAAGCTGTGAAACGCGTATGGAGAAATTCGAACACTTCACTTCTATCTGAAGTTTGTGCTGATGATGTCTTTAGAAGAACGATGAAAGCTCCACGACCAAACCATCCAGCTAAGAGAACAAAACCCCATCAAAATCACATTGGTTTTATACACAGATATGCACATCCATAACGGTACATAAAGCATTAGTAGTAAGAGATTTGAGAACACATATACAAATAAATAAATCACTTTGAAAGAGAACATATAAATCAAATGGTTTTGGTTCGATCACAGATTTGATCAATGAAACTAAACTGTATGGGTTTTTCTAGGATAATTTATTTACTAAAATATCCACAAGAAAAATAAGGAGGATATAAAAAAATATACAATCTGTTGAACGGTAACACACTTTTTATCAATTCTAATTCATTTGATCGAGAATCCAGGTATACGAGTAAAAATCTTTTTTATGTAAAATAGTCCCACTTGCTTTAGGCGACTAGTGTAATCGTATCTACATAGTGTAATGACATGTCAAGCAATGAACTCACAATTTCTTTTAAATATCACTAGACGCATTTGAAATTACTCGGAGACAGAAACTTAGATTTAGCAGATGTTCATCTGTATAACTACCATGCATTTCCTTAGCTACTTATGAATATCCTCTACTTTAAACAATGAGTGGATGTAAGAATTTTTCAAAATAATTAACGTAATACAAACAGTTTGACTAAATCTGGATAAATGTTTAGTGATGAGCGGTTCATGATTTATAGAATGGGGAAAAAGATTGAATAAGAACAATTATGAGTGGTTTAACTCAAAAAAATTGAACTTATGCTTCAACGTTTAAAAAGACAATATTTCCAAATATGACTCATGTTAACAGCCAAACTACCTGTTTTTCTGTTCATCCTTAAATTGTTTCAGTTTCACTAACTTATAATACTGAACTGGAGATGATCGCTAGTCATGAATAAATCTAATCAAACAATATTACCTATTACATTTGGTAGCTTGCATTCGGCATCCAAAGCGTCTATGAATAACGTCTCTTCAGTGAATATATTTCCAAGACACCATTGTTATATACTTCTGGTATGTCAAATAATTTTTAAACTTAATGTGTGGTAGTGAAGGCAAATGTAATTAGTTACTAAATGTGGACAAATGGACATTAAACTTAATAATCAGAAAATATGGTATTTTCTTTTCTTTTATCGACTTCTATTCCGGACCCACTGACAATGACTGCTTTTTGATGTGTGTAAAAATTTACTCTCTAGCGTTAATTGTGTTCTCTATTCCTGAATCATGAATCGGGTATATAACGTGATCTGGTTTGTGTGTAGCGGATCGTTTGAGTATTCAATCCAGTGCTAACATAAAATCTATCCCCCCAGACCAGTCTTGTTATCGTACTATCGCATTTCTGTAGTGTACCGTAGAGACAGAAAATATTATAAATCGTCCGTTATATCAAAATCTTGTGGAGATCATTCAATTTATAGTTTACATCAAGAACTGAATTTAACTAAAATGTATTTTTACTATTCGTGGCAATTATTTATTCGATTTAGAAATGAAAACATTGAAATGACTAACTTATTCTATTATTTAATTACAGTTAAGATTAAAAATGACAGTGGGACCAATCGATTTTCAATTACTTCTCAATAAACAATAACATAATCAGAGAGAGATTTTGTGGATATTATAGTAACTTAATAGTTGGATTCATGAGTCAATTGGAACTAGACTAGGACAAAATGGCCGTCCAGTGATTCCAGGTTTTCCATGGTGACCTAGCTTCAATTGACTGATGAATTCAACTATTAAATAACATAATCATCTAAAAAGTAACCCGTCCATTTCAATACACAAATATTATAAAGAATTTTAAGCTGCTGGCTTAATCATGATTTCATTGCATGCCTTGAAGATGAATTATAGAGTAATCAATAAGAAAAACTTTGAAAAAGTCATACCTCCCACTGGTCTTTAAACACATTCTTCAAACATAAGTTAGTGGTAAGAAAGACTCTACAACTTCACTTATATGTCAGCTGATTGAAACATAAATTAGTCATCTAACAAATTTATGATGTTGTTTAATCAAGTTTCATTTTGTTCACCCATTAATTTATCAAACTTATCACTACAGTGATTATTATTATTATTATTATTATTATTAATACTACAGAGTTTACAGAGATAAAATTCAATGTTTCTGAATATTTCTGTTGGTTGTTACGTTTTTAAATGTTCAGTTCATCATTCCGAATTAATACAAATTAGGAAAAAGTTTATCATAACCAGTTTTACAAGAATCCATAATCAAAATAATTGACAACAAACAGTCCATTGGTTAATGTAGCTTGCTTGTTTACTACACAACGAAAATACATTTAAAAATGATTAGTTCAGTTTTCATTTCCTAATGAAACAATTAACACTAATTAGGTTAAAGAATGATCCATTTATTTTATCATCATTTTTACTAAACTATTTAGTTGGCAAACAAAAATTAATATGGAGTTATTTTGATATGGATAGTGGCTAGCAGTGGAATCCAGGGTATGCGTGTCGTCCCATTTCGGACTCGTCAGCTGTATGCACCTGCATCCCAGAGTCGATGTTCACTCTGGGACTCGAACCTAGTACCGTTCAAACACCATCATGTTACCCATTTAACTACTGAGTTCTGATAGCCACCAGCTTGTGCAACGAATAAATGAATAAACAAAATAAATGAATAGTCATACAGACTGTTGCAATCGTTCATATTTCAAGTTTTAATCAAGTTCAAATGGCCAATTATTTTAATGACTATTCATAGTTTATTTTTGGATCCTCTTCTTTTCATATACGTTTTAGTACTCTATTCCTTCATTTTAGTAATATTTTTTGAAAATATTGAAAATTGAAGCAACAAATCACCAGTTCATTGTCTGCTTTGATATAACCAAACGATTGTTACATACAAGTCATTTCAACAGGAAAGTCTAATTAAATTAATTTAGGTATTTGTTCTATGTACCATTGTATGCCTGTTACCAACATATTACATCATTTCTCATTCAAATAGTCAATTCATTAAACTATTAAAAAGTAACCTAGATACTATTTATACAACGAATATATTCACTTTACTGCAATGAACACGGTAAACCAGTTTCAATTTTGAAGATGAAGATATATGTTTACTAAACACAAGTCGATAAATTGCTGTCTATCACAATAAATGAAAATTGTTTTAAATGCACTAAATGATCTACCCATATTCTTTATTCACACACACACACACACTATTTATATATGATGAATAGTTACATCATGTAATCTTAAAATATTTTTATTACTTCAAAATATAAATGAATTCTTAACACAAGCAAACGTATATTGATAACACATCTTATTTACTTATTTCTAGTCTGTGCTACTTTTAGTATATCAGCTAAACGATACACATGATTCATACTATTGAAAAATGTATTCTGAAATCAATGCAAATTGTGATATTATTGTAACAACTAAAATTACTTTAGAATTACTCAAGTACAAATTGCATTTTTACTTTTCAATTTTATAACAATTAAATACACAATAAGAATAATAAATCAAAACATTTTATTGTTAGTAACTACATAATATCTATCAGACTATTTGGTAAAGATACAATTTGAGCTTAGGCAGTTTGTAGAGATTATTCACTTTTAATGCAGTTTACATCATAGACTGAAAACTAGAAAACACCAAAGAGTTGGTTAGTCCTATCACGGTTATCCTGGGTAATGTACATACACTGAACAAATTCAAACAAAATCTAATAATTGTGTCTAGAGTATTATAGTTAGGCCAATAAGATGATATTCACTAGGTTGCTTTTCAAACTATAATCAATTCTGGATACTGAATAATCAACTATCACCCATTTTACTATCTATATGACTGAACTATACTAATCACTGTCGTTCATTTGAATTTCCGAAATTGTTTTCTTGCTTAATCATCAGGAGAATACACTAGCCCCACTGGACCTGCCTGACATCGAAAC